GCCCAATGCAATACATCATTTGATTTCCTGACTGCTGCTTCCATGGGTGTTGATTGTGGACCCAAGTAAAATGAAATCTTGACAACATCAATCTTTTCTCCATTTATCATAATGTTACTTATTGGTCCAGTTGTGAGGATTTTTGTTTTCTTTATGTTGAAGTGTAATCCGTACTGAAGGTTGTAGTCTTTGATCTTCATCAGTAAGTGCTTCAAGTCCTCTTTGCTTTCAGCAAGCAAGGTTGTGTCATCTGCATATTGCAGGTTGTTAAATGAGTCTTCCACCAATCCCAATGCCACATTCTTCTTCATATAGTCCAGGTTCTTGGACTATTTGCTTAGTTTACAGATTGAATAAGTATGGTGAAAGGATGTAACCCTGCCGCACACTTTTCTTGATTTTAAACCATGCAGTATCCCCTTGCTCTGTTTGAAAGGCTGCCTCTTGGTCTATGTTCAGGTTCTATATGAGCATTATTAAGTGTTCTGGAATTCCCATTCTTCTCAGTTTATCCATAATTTGTTATGATCCACATAGTCGAATGCCTTTGCATAGTTAATAAAACACAGGTAGACATCTTTCTGGTATTCTCTGCTTTCAGCAATGATCCATCTGACGTCAGCAATGATATCCCTGGTTCCACGTCCTCTTCTGAATCCGGCTTGAATTTCTGGAAGTTTCCTGTCGATGTACTGTGACAGCTGCTTTTGAATGATCTTCAGCAAAATTTTACTTGTGTGTAATATTAATGATGTTGTTTGATAATTTCTACACTCTGTTAGATCACCTTTCTTTGAATGGGCACTAGGAATAGCTTATTCTTGAGATAAGTACATTCTCATGAGAACACAGTAACTGGGAAACATAATGAAGAGGCTTATCTCACAGAAATAAAGCAAACCTGTCAAAAGTTTACAAAATTCACACACCCAGGAGACATCACCTAACACAATGCTCATTCTACAATAATAAGGCTCCAACTTAGGGGTCTTGAGTTTCACATATTTCAAAAAGCTCCCAACTTGAGGTTAAAGGAGTTAAAATCGGAGTGCTATCTTCACAAAGAACGCCAGAGGCATAAAAAGTGGTTGGGAAACAGTATGTCCCAGGAGTCATTGAAGGGTTAAGGTTTGATATGATTTGGTTATACATGTATATAATAACATAATTTACATTATGTATAATTAACATTTATATATATGAAATGCTCCTTACGTTGTCATTCATTCAGCCTACTTTATGCCAGATACCATGCTAGAATGCAGGGGTATAAAACATACAGTTGTTGACTGCAAGGAGCTTATGGCTTGTTGAAGGAAATAATCAGGTAAATTAACAGTTGCATGATCATCGACAAATGACAAGACACGTACCTCACTAATAATGGAAATGCTAATTGTCTTAGTTTCTTGATGCTGCTATAACAAATACCACAAGGGGTGGCTTTAACGAACAGAAATATATTTTCTCACAGTTAAGGGGCTAGAAGTCTGAGTTCAGGGCTCTCGGGGAAGGCTTTCTCTCTGTCTGCTCTGAAGGAAGATCCTTGTCTCTTTTCAGATTCTGTTCCTCAGTTCCTTGGCTATCTTCATGTGGCCTGGCATCTGTTTACCCCATCTATGCTTCATTGTTTCTGTACCTAATCTACTCTTTTTATATCTGAAAAGTGATTGGTTTAAGACACACTCTACACTGATATGGCCTCATTAACATTATAAAGAAAACCCTATTCTACAATGGGATTACATCCACAAGTATTGGGGTTAAGATTTATAACACGTATTTTAGGGGGAAACAATTCAATCTATAGCACTAATTAAATAATATATTCCTTTTTTGTATATTAGATGATTGATAATATCACTTGTAGGCAAGGTGTAATAAAAAGGACAGTGTTTTGGAATGATTATAAATCCAAAGTCCCCTGCCCTTCTACCCTTCTTTGTCCCCTTATCCTGCTTTATTTTTCTCCTTAGATCTTTATCAGCGTCAATGTATTTATTTGTATATGATCTGTGTTCCCTAAATTCTTAGTGCCTACAGCAGTTGCAGGCACATAATAGGTGCTCAGTAAGTACTGTTGAGACACAAAATAGCAGAATTCAAGCAAAATTAAAATTACCTGTGTTTCACACTAGAAATTCTGCTTTTAGAAACCTAGCTTACAAGTGTATGTAAGTTTTTATGCACAGAGATGTTCACTTGAGCATTCTTTAAAATAGTGAAAAAACTCAAAGTAAATTGTTTATTGGAAGGAGAATAGGTTAGATAAAGTGTGCCACATCTGTACTTTGGTGTAGATCTACCTGTACTGCCATGGATAGGTCTCCAGGGCTTATTTTCAAGTAAAAAGCAAGTTGCAAAACAATGTGTATAGTATTATCCAATTTGTGCATGTGACCATAAATACATACATGTGTGTGTCTGGGAAATTTATAGTAAAAAACTTGAAGAACATACACCAAACAGACTGATTACCTTTGGGTAGGAGAATGAGATGGGGGCATCTGGGGAAAATGAAGGAGAGTAAGCATGAGAGAGAGAAGCATGGGTCAGATCATGAGAGTGCTTACATGCTATGTTAAGGATTTCAGTTTGCACCACGCCCCGAACTTTATCTGATTAGTCTTGCATCTGAATTTGAGTCATTTTCCTGATAAGTGCCTCATTGCAATAAGTGAGTAAGAGCTCAGCTGCTAACCAAAAGGTTGACAGTTCAAATCCACTAGCCACTCCTTGGAAACCTTATGAGCAAGTTCTGCTCTGTTGATATGAGTTGGAATTGACTCAACGGCAATGGGTATATCTACTTTTTTTGATATTTATTCAAATATTGTATATCTTTAAAGATTTTGTATCTTCTTTATTTATTGATCAAGGAGGGAGTTATGTTAAATTCTTGTCTTAAAATTCTCCTTGTACTTAAAAAAACTTTTTTAATTGTGGTAAGAATATGTGTAACCAAACATTTGACATTTCAACAACCTTCACATGTACAGTTCTTTGACATTGATTATGTTGACATCATGTTGCTCAACTATGACCCTTATTTGTTCCCAGATACTTTTGGGAACCATCTACTTTTGTCTCCCTGTAGTTTATCCTCACAGTAGCTACTTATCTTTCCACCATATAGTTCTCTTTACTATCCCACCTTTTTATTGTAGTTGCCTTATGTATCATACCTACATAATGATAGAAAATTCCATCAGATGTTGTTATAATTTTTGCTTTCAAACATCAAAAATACTTCAGTGAACTCAAGAGGGCAAGAATAGCCTGTTGTATTTACGCAGATATTTATCAGTGCTGTAGCTCTTACTTCATTCCTGATGTTGGAGGCATCCTTTGGGTTTCGTTTCCTGAATGTCTGAAGAAATTCCTTTAACATTTCTTTTAGACCAGACCTACTGTCAACAAATTCTCTTAGTTTACCTTTATCTGAGAATCTCTGTATTATACCTTCATTCTTGGAAGATATTTTCTCTGAATGTGGAATTCTGGATTGACAATTCTTTTCTTTCAATACTTTATAAATGTTGTTCCATTTCTTTCTGGCCTGTATGAGACAGCTGCAGTTATTGGAATAATTATTTCCCTATAAGTAATGCATAATTTTTCTTTGGCTGATTTCAAAGCATTTTCATTGTCTTTAGTTTCAGCAATTGGATTATGATGAATTTGGGCATGGATTTCTTTGGGTTCATTTCTTTTTGGGGCCCCTAAATTTTATGAATCTGTAGTTTTATGTCGCTCTCCAAATTTGGATAGTTTTCAGCCATTATTTCCTCAAATACGTTTTTAACACACACTTTTCTTCTGGGATTTGGATGATACAAAAGTTAAACCTTTTGTGATTGTATCACGGCTTCCTGAGGCTTATTTTTTTCCTCTGCTCAGATTGTATTATCTCTATTGCTCTATCTTCAAGTTCACTGGTCCTTCCTTTTCATCTCTGTTGTACTATTGATACCATCCAGTGAGTTTTTAAAACAAAATTTTATTGTAGTTTTAGTTCTAAAATTGTCATTCTGATGGGTTTTCTTTTTGTATTCTATTTTATCTTGAGTTTTTTTTTTTTTAATCGTCCCATTTGTTTCAAGATTATTTGCCTGTATTTTCTGGAAGATTTTTCTAACTGTTGATTTAAAGTCTTCATCAGATAATTACAATATCTGCGTCATCTCAGCATTGTGATCTGCTGGTTGTCTTTTTTTCACGGAAGTTGAGGTTTTTTGGCTCATCATATGCCAGGTACTTCTGGATTATATCATGGACATTTTGAATATTATGAGACTCTCATTTAAATCCTATGGAAAATACTGATGTTTTTGTTTTAGAAAGCAATTGGCTGAGTTGGGTTCGGATACAAATTCCGACCAGCCTTCAGCAGGTTGCTGTTTCAATGTCAGTTCTGTTTTCAAAACTTTTATAGTGCTTTGGATCCTTCTTATGTGTGCACCATCCATAACAGTGATTATGGGATGTGGGCAGTGGTCTAAATCATAGTTCATTTCTCAGAGTCTGTAGTATGCTGTTTATGGTCAGATCCACATGTATGTAGCTGGACTAGGGGCAAGGGATAAGCACAAGAGTCCATAAATAATTTTATGGTGTTGCTTTCACACACTCCTCATTTTCTGTGATCTCTCCAGTACTTTCTAGTTTCCTAAGGCTCTCCTGTTTGGTCCTCTGACCAGAAAGCTAGGTCTTTATTTACTCCCCTCTGCCACATATTTCCCATGACTCTTTCTGCATCTAGCGCAAAGCAGCAGGAGGACAGAATGGAGGAGTGGGATGCCTTACCCTTTTTGGACCACAGCTCCTCCTATTGGACAAGAAGGTTTCCCTTCCTGAGAGTTTTAGGCTCCTGTGCCTCCCATTGCACCTCTGCTGTGGTCGCTGTTGCCACCGTTGGATTGCTTGAGGCTAGGAGACAAGAGAATAGAGAAAAGGAAAGAAAAACGGAGTTCCTGCACTCTTTCTGAGTGTTAAGATACCCGTTTCCTGATCCTTGAGTTCCCTGAGCAAGAACTAAAAGGATTCTGTTGGCACTCTCACTGTCCATGACCAATGCCCACTTGGGTTTTAGTCAACATTGAGAACAGGCCAGGGTAAAATAAAAGTTAAAATTATTGCTTGTTCACTAGTACTTGGATTTCTGGTTTTCTTTCCTAATCTTGCAACTGTTTACTTTCCAGGGTCCTCAAATTCTGTTCAAGTTTTATAGCTATATTAGGTGCAGCAGTGAATTATTAATAAATAGTTGGTTGATTGATTATGAATGAAAGGTTATCATAGATTCACAAGTTATGGATTTTTAAGTGAAATATTATTTGGAGACAATTCATTTTCTTTTATGAGGGAAAATTTAATTTCTCTTTTGTAAAATTCATCTTCTTGATATTAAGCTAATTGTCTTTTGTTACCCTGAAATACTTAATGTTCTTCAGGATGTTGAACACATTACTGCCCAAAGTATTTACTGCAGGCTTAGTATGTGATTGATTTTTATTTTTTAAAAATATTTGTTTTCTGTATCTCCTCCGATTACTGTTTTAAAGTGCACATCCTTGTTTGTAGATCTTTATGCATTCTGATAATTAAAAATGAAACAAAAGCTTCAATGTGTCTGTAAAAATAATCAAAATGTTAAACTATGCAAAACCAGCCACCATAGTACAAAATATCCTATCAGTCAAGTAATCCCAAACATCCCAGTAGCATTTGTTCTTTAAAAATTTAGAATGCAATAAATAACATTTTGCTTGTTTCTATACTTGCTTCCCTTTACCTTAAGGTTGATAGTTTCATTCTGATAACTTGAAAAATAAATGTAAGATGAAATTTATGTGTAATTGGACACAAGGAGTAAAGACGATTCTTTAATTTTGTATTAAATGAAAGGACTTATAGCTAGAAAACCATTGCTATTGAGGAATAAATTAACTATTATTAATCTATTAAGAAATAGAAGGGAGGTATAAAGTATTCTTATGTACCAAATAATGACCAAAAATTTGATTTATTTCTGTATTGTCCCTTTATAAAATACGGATATAGTGTAGTTACAAGCAATTGCAATGGAATTATAGCTGGTACTTAACAAGCTCATGATCCTTTAATGTTATTCAGTTTTAACTGCACTTGAGATACTTTAGCCTTATTGGGCTTCAGTCATTAGAAGGAGTTCTCAGTATTGGAAACATGGTGTTATGGACGCTATAAAATGGACTGCTAGACTCAGAGAATCAGGCTAGGGCAGAAATGGGTCTAGCTTATCTGCCTTCTCTTGTCACCATAATGAGAGTATAATTAGGTTGGATGGTGCTTCCTAGAAGCCTAAACTTCTAATAGGCATGCATTTCCTAGGAGGCCATGATCTTTTTAATCATAGCCTTAATGTGAACATTAATCCTGTCTAAGATTCTCTAGGAGTACCTATCAGCAAGTGACAAATAGTTTCTTTTAGACTAAATATTCTTGAGTCCGCGGGAAGTCATTAATCCTATGTAAGCATTTATTCATTCATTCATTCATTCATTCATCTATTCAGTAAATATTTACTCATTGCCTACTATGTTCTAGGAACTTGGCTAGATCTGGGGCTATATTAGCCAGTGAAACATAATTCTACTCCATGTTACTTACAGTCTAGCAGGAAATAGACAAGTAAACAAGCCAATAAAATAAGATTTGGTTGGTGATGTAATAGGAGAAATATAGGACACTGTTGGGGACATCTAACTCAAAGAAGGCTTAGAATAACATTTAAGGCCAAGTAAGAATCAGTTAAGATTGATAGAAACCCTCTCTGATTTGTGAATAACTGCACAAGGGATCTCCCGAAACCTGTAGTCTGTGAATAGTGATGCATTATTTTTCTTCTTCAACATTCTTTTGTATCTTCTAAATACTGTTGTTGTTGTTGTTGGTTGCTGTCCAGCTGATTCTGAACCATGGCGACCCAAGTGTAGAGTGAGTGTCCATCAAAGTGTATGCGCTCTTTCTCTACTATAAATGATAAGGACCTAATTAATATACAATTCTGATCAGAGTGAGTAAAAACAGTGATTGATCATAAAGAAATACTATCATGCATTCATTGTGAATTATATTAAATAATTGTGTACATACAGCCTCATAAACCAAGCTTATTATAATGATTTTTGATGGTATCTGCCAGCAACTTTCACTGTTGCCTCATCTGGCAGAAGATACATTTATCTATTTGCTTGTCTTGCAGTTCTATTTCCAGACCCCTTCCAATTTTCGTATCCTTTGTGGATCACTCTGCCCTTGTGAGATGTCAATCCTGTCTTTGTAAGAGATAAACCCCATTTTATCCTCATTTTTTCCAGACAAATCACTATGGCTTTAAAGTATATGATATGTGAATTTGATGTTCCTGCTGTATTGTTCTCAGATAGCTCTTGCTTTATGCTTTCTTTTTCTCCTCTTGTCATTGGAGGTCTCATTTCTGAGTTTATTCCTTCAAGTTAGCTTCTCAATAATTTCCAACATAATAGGCAGAGAAAAACAAACAACATTGCTTGGCTAGACAACATAGATAAGAAAATGAAAGATGTGAAGAACAGGCTGTAGAGTCCAAAGCCGTCAGGAAATAAAGAACATGGCTGAAAGACAATGATCGAACTGTATATTTCTCTCTTCATGGACAAGAGTGCTTTGGGAGGTGTTAAGGGTTGAATTGTGTCCTCCCAAAAGATATGCTGAAGTCCTAACTCCTGTACCTGTGAACATGACTCTGTTTGAAAATAGGGTCTTTGAAGATGTCATCAGTTAGGCTAACATGAGATCATACATGAATCATAACATGAGTCATAATTCTATATGACTGATATCCTCATACAAGAGGAAAAGGTACACAGAGACAGAGGAAGGATACCATGTGATGCTACAGGTACAAGCCAAGGAATTATTGGAGCTGTCAGAAGCTAGGAGAGAAACATGAAACAGATTTTCTCTGAGAGCTCTCGGAAGGAATCCACATGGCTGATTTGGACTTCTAGCCTCCAGAACTATGAGGCAAAAATTTCTATTCTTATAAGCCACCCATCGTGGTATTTTGTTACAGCCTGGGAATATTAATACAGGAGGTCATGTGTTACTCCCAGGTAATTTGCAGGTAAACTCCAGACCTCTGGGGAGAGACAACATATGGGGACCTAGATGCTCTGATGAAGAACCTGGATATTACAAAATGTATGAGTAGATGTGCTTCTACTAAGTGGAGTGCTTAAAGAATAGCAACTAAAATTGCTTAGCTTGTGCTGGCAAGGCCACAGTCTCAAGGATGAGATGAGCTCATGTGTTGGGATATGTCCATTGGACTGCTTATTCTATGGAGGTGGCTAGTGTATTGTATATTCAGTAAATACTTGTGGAATGAGTGAAGGAACATGGCATAGACTGTGATACTGAGTTCTTCACAAAATGCAACTATTCAGCCTCTCTAAATAGAGCTTAGATTGTGCTCTCATACAAAGTAAATAAAAGTTGTACCTCTTGAAGTTCTTCACGTGTGCTTATGGTTCAGTCGGTGGTTTGGGACAGTGTTAGAGAAAGAAATTCTCTTGAATAGCATTGGATCCCTATGAGCATGGCCAATTAATCTAAGGAGATTTGCCTACTCCAAAGTCTAGGGGCCACTATATAGAGCTGAATTTATGTGGATTTTATTACCAGCAGACCTTTATTATTGATGTAAAGCAGTAAGTAATAATAGTCTATGGTTAATGATCTAAAACAAAAAATGAGATTACTAGCTTTTTCACTCAAAGCAATTTTTATTCTGTTATTTGATTACTCAGTTGCTTAGTTTCAAGACTTTATTATCTCTTTAAATCATAATTAATATATAAAATATAACACATTTCTGCTTCCTCATTACTGCATATTCAGCACCCACAATATTTTGTCATCATTTTCTGTACTGTATCATATTTTTTTTTTTAAATGAGAAGTCTTAGATTTTCTATTTTTAGCGAGACAATCTTATGGCAGTTGAATAAAGTAACATTGAAGTAAGTCAGGAATTAGAATCTAAATATACACTGATATTGAGACATGTACATATTTTGAAAATTTTTAGTGACAGCCATAGTAAAGGATGAATTATTTTCACATATATAAATGCAATATCCTAGAAAATTCACGACTAAAAATTGCTTAAAATTTTCATTGCAAGGCTTTTAGGAGGATTTTCTATTTTGACCGTATGAAGGATAAAGATGGTAGCAAGAATAATGTAGAGATTTAAATCTTTCCAGGAACATTTCTGTCACTTAGTTCAGTTCAATTTAAATGACATCTACGGGTGTATAGCTCTGGGAAAAAAAAGCTAAGATCTGGTATCTGTCTGTAACTTGGGCAGATAAAATAAACTAAACAATCGATTTTTATTAGTTCAATATAATATTAACCTTTCAAAGTTATGCTCATGAAACTTCATATAGCCTTTTTGTTTTTTCTTTTTCTTTTTTTAGCAGCCTACTCTACATAAGGAGCCCTGGTGGCACAGTGGTTAATATCTCAGGCTGCTAACCAAAAGGTCAGCAGTTCGAATCCACCAGATGCTCCTTGGAAACCTATAGATGGCAGTTCTACTCTGGCCTATAGGTTTGCTCAACGGCAACTGGTTTGTTTTTTTTTCTTTCCTACTCTAAATGATGTGTTAATGTTTTTGCCTCCTATCGTTCCGTCATGCTGTGTTTGGAGCTGGAATTGGTTGTGCTTTTCTGGTCCTGGGTTCTCATTCCTGAGGCCAGGAAGTGTAAGAGAGAGGTTGGGTTGTTGCAATTTGCTCTAGATTGCTTTCTCAAAAGCAAGGAGGGCAGCATTGCCCACTACTGATTCTCCCACATTCGCTTATTGCCTTTCACAAGCTACAATTCATGTAATAATTAAAAATGGCTTGAATGTCAGGCAGAATACTGTCACGTTTCACACCTTATCATCATTCAGATTTGTTTTGTTTACAGGATTTCAAACGTTAAAATCCTTTCTTTGATCACAGCCTCCTCTTCCTCTTCCTTATCTGTCCAT